AATGAATGAATGAATGAATGAATGAATGAATGAATGAATGAATGAATGAATGAATAAATAAATAAACACAATTAATGAAATTAAAAAATGAATAATAAACAAGATTTAAAAATTACACGTATGTTTCATGTCGGCTAGCAGTATAAAGTTTCAATTAAAGAGCTCAATTCCCAAAACCTCCCTCTCTTCCCAGGCGTTTATGATGAAGCGTCTTTAGGCCATTCCCAAAGGGGGCGATAGTGACATGTTCTTATTCACAGTAGAATTATAAAAGGGGCTGATTTATCAATGTCATGCTCATACTGTGCCGGAACAACATAGAGGGAACTGCTGCTTTTTCTTTCCTCATCCTTACTATCGTCATTTTTCCTCTATTTTTTGTATGTTTGTCACTCTCGTGAACTGCTATTTTCGGGGTGCCTTGATAATCGAAGCAGACTTTGTGCTTTTGAGGCTAGAGAGGTGAGCAGAGTAAGCCTGATTCCCTGTATGGACTTCTCTGTTGACATCCAGCCCTTGGCGCTCATATGACCATATGCAGTTGCTAGCGCCGTAAAACTTCTACTGAAACTAAACTAAACACCCCTTGGCGTTCATATGACCTCATGCAGTTGCGAGCGCCGTAAAACCTCTACTAAAACTAACTTTTAAAATCTCCTCCATCCCCTCAGGCGTTCATGATGAAGCAACAGATGATGCTGCAGGGAGGGGGCGGGGCAGGTCACGTCGACAACAGCGACGACGACGAAGCGGAAGCCGATGCCAAAATTGCAGAGGAGAAAGCCAGAATGATGCGCAAGCAGAAGAGAATGATGAAGAAGAAGCAGAGGATGGAGAGACGCAGGAGGAAGAGGAGGCGAATGAGGAAGCTGCAGATGCAGAAAGAGGCGACTGGTCGTGGTGGTGCTGGTCACAGCGAGAAGCAGTCAGATGGGCCTGGAGTCGACTGTATGGTCACGCCGTGGTCTGATTGGTCACCCTGCTCGGTCACGTGTGGCAAAGGAATCGTCATGAAGACAAGGATGATCAAGATACAGCCTCAAAATGGCGGCCGCCGCTGCCCGAGACGGCTCGTGAGGAAGAGGAAATGTCGCCAGAAGAAATGTCGTAAGTAATTTTTAAGATACGACTAAATATTAAGATATTACCATCAATATCATATAGGTCTCTGGTAATGTCGCTAGAAGAAATGTCGTAAGTAATTTTTAAGATACGACAAATTAAGATATTACCATGAATATCATATAGGGCTCTGGTAATGTCGCTGGAAGAAATGTCGTAAGTGATTTAAGATACAACCAAATGAGATATTATCATCAAGATCATAAAGGTATTTTAAGATAAAGATATTACCATCAAGATCAGATAGGTAATTTAAGATAAAGATAGTATCATCAAGATCAGATAGGGCTCTGATATTGTGGTCAGGTCCTTTACGTTGTCATGGTGGTGTCTTACGTTTAAAATCTCTGCGCTTCCCTGAATGTTTCTCTCTGTCTATCCGTCTGTCTCTCGCCCTCAGTTTCTCACTTCTTTCTTTCCCCCCCCCTCTCTCTCTCTCTC